TTTTCTGTAATAGTAATGATATTAATAGTATTGTTTTTTATTTCTGTTTCAGATTGCAATCGTGCGCGAAGCAATGTACGGGAGTGTTTATGGTGTTATCATYAAACTGCGTGCAAAGCAGTTTTTGAATTAGTTGTAGAATCAGTGATCGGCCGAGTAATAAATTAAAATCAAACGCGAATTAGAGTCAGTGTTGTTCGTCGTATAAAAAAAATTTCGGTTTCGCGATAAGAAACTCATCTATAGTTTCTTATTTTCGTTTATACCGTGTTTTTAGATTCACGYGAGGTGTATCACCATGATACCGTTGAGCTGCATTCWATTGRAATGCATTGTRAGTATRCATTTTTTWAAATATTTTATTTGATTTTATTWRAAATGATTTTTGAWTWTATTRTTGATAWCTTATCGTTAYGTTTTATTTTATATTACAGATAAGACAATGAATTTTCTTCCTTTTCAAAGATGTGGAATGAATTCTTCGATGGATCTTCGATGGATCTTCTATGGATTGGCAGACTGCAATACTTGCTTCGAAGTAGGAGTGTTTTGGAGCCATCGCAGAACTTCTAATGCTAACTGTTCATATTTCGTGTATGTGTCATTTTCATTTTAAAATGTCACATGTATGGAATATAACAGTCGGTAACGAGTGAGTAGAAAAATTGAAAATCCCTCCGGTGCTCAATCATACCAAGGATGAAAGATCCTAATTGCCACGAGCTACTCTTTATAATTATTTAAATAAATTATTGACGAACACATGAATAATTCCATTTTTTTTGGAATTACTCATAAAACTGTATATTCTATTCTAAATTCTATTAATGGGGGATAGGTTTTCTTGTCTCATGGGTTAAATTAAATTAATTACATTTCTTTTTAACACTTCTACTTTTTTACGCCCAGTTCTTTCATTAGAACAGCCAACTTAATGAAACAAGTCGTCGGAGGTTTTGAAATATATTAATTAAATATATTAAAGTATATTAAAAAAAAATTAATAGTCATTATTTATGAAATAACTTGTAGAGTCCTTAATCGTTCTGCTCGAAGAAAACGTCATCATTTTGACTGAATGTATTCCTATCTCGTATCTAATCGTATAGTTTGTAAAAATAATTAACCACGAAGAGGATGACAAATAATGATTTAGAGACTAAATCGTTGAACGTGTTTTAAACAGATTCGTTGTTTAGTCTACATGTCTGTATACGTGCACGTGTGTATGCAGTGTACAATCACGTAGAAGAGAGTCAATAGGGTTCACGTACATATATAGTAAAAGAGAAGAAGAGCCTAACGGACTCTACGAGCCAGTTGGCCCTGGTCCAAGGATACAATGTAAAAGTAGAAAAGTGTTTTCGCAGGGTAGCTAACACGTGAGGAAAGCGTTAACTTACATTTTCTCCAGTTATAGCTTTAGCAATTTGTTGCCAGGTTCTCTCTCTCTCTCTCTCTCTCTCTCTCTTTGCTTAGTGTATAAATTATATACACATACACATACTATCTTCCCTTACCCCTTTCCCTTTTACGTCGTGCCATACTCATCCTTCTAATATGGTTCTGGTAGAGTACGAAATGTACGAGAGACGACGACGGGCTTATGCGTGAATTATGCTTGCAACCTGACATTCTCAGACATACCACAATTAATGGATACACACACAGAGTGTGAGTGAGAGAGTGAGAGTATCGATATATTTATTCCTAGGTATCAGATTAACGTTCTAACGTAATATACGCTGCTCTTCAATTTTCGTGCAAAGTCTTGTTTTACTCCTACCACTATAATAATATGATATATATATATATAAATATTAAAAAAATAATAATAATAAAAATAAATATCGCGTTTATAAATTAATTAAACGTACTTTCATAACTGTAGAGTCAACTTCGTATCTTCGATATTATAAAAACGTTTTATAATATAATATAAAGTATATGTGTATAAATATGTGTATACATGTTTGTATTCGATATAAAAACAAAAAGGCTAACAACCAATCAACGGTAGCGACAGGCGACCGTTCTCTCGTTCACTTTTATAAAGTAAAATTCATAAAGTGTAATTAAAAACTTTTTTCATATCATTCGTGTCAGAGAGTTTGCTTCGTCTGTACGAACAAATGACTTCCCCTTTCGCCAACCCTTTTGGTCTCACCACAGCCCTTTTTCTCAATTCTCTTGTTATCGGTGATCTCTTTTGGTACATCTTTTCTCAAATGGAATCGTTTTTTTAGTAGGAATTTGTTTAAATTGATAAACGATACGTGAACTAGTTTGAAATTAATAAAATTGTGTATTTTTGTTTTTTGTTTTTTTATTTAATGTTCGTGAACGCGTGTATCGTTTGAAATTGAATTATATTAACATATAAAAGTAATTTGTTTTTATTATTATTGTTTATCGTGTCACATCAAATTGCAAATTAAAAAATCGTCGTTTACATAAAGGGAGAGAGGATGGGACACCTAATGAAAGGAATGATCTAACAAAACTCATATTTTATTTTTTTAATCAGAGCATTACAACAAAGGCACACAAGGTTTTTTTTTCTTCTTTGTACAAATATGTTGCAAAAATTGTTTATGAATATTTATGTATAAAGTATAAAACATGATTTTTTTTTCTTTTTTTTTTTTTTTTTACTTATACGTTATAAACTTATATTATATTCTCATGCATGCTTTGTTTTTCGTAATAATCAACGATAATTAAAATCTATACATATATATGTATACTTATTAAATAATACTCACATCGTTGAGAATAACGATATAAATGATTATATATTTGAATTTGATTAAGTTTGGCGAGTATTGTCACGATTTTGATCGAAAATTGGCACACGTATTATTTGTTATTATCATTTAAATTATTAAATAAATATAAACGGTTATTATGTTATATACTGGTTCATCAGATTTAAATACATTTGTACGACTAAAACACATAGTCGTATAATTATGATAAATTATTGACAATATGTTACGATAGATTAATAATAATAATAATAATAATAATAATAATAATAATAATAATAATAATACAAAATAGAAAACAAAGGGAGAATAGAAAATAAACTATGATAAAACATAATACAAAAGAAATTCATTGGAATTGCATTAAATTGCGTATCCTTGGTTCCTTTTTTTTTTTCATTTCAACGAATTCAAATATTAACGATATATATTAATAAATTCGATAAATAATTTTAGAATTAATTTACATTAAAAAAAAAAAAAAAAATATAAATATTGTTTCTATACTTCAACTAACACGCGACAAACGATTGTTCTGTTCGTCCAATAAAATCGATGCCTCGCACATCATTTTCGCACTGGTACGTACCAAAAATAATAATTGATATTCATCGGTAATAGTCAAAGGTGCTCGTGTTCTTACCAATGCATGAAGTATAGTTGCTCTTTCAAGATCTAGCCATCTTTGAAGAGTAACTTCCCTTTCTTTTGCTAAACCAAAAGTTGTAACATCGTCTGGACCCCATAAAGAAAATTCGAGTAATGATTTTACCTAGAAAACATATTATTCATAAAAATGATTATGATGATGATAAATACACGTTGAAATTTTATCATACTCATATAAAAATGTGGAATTATAATTATGAAAAATGAAAAAAAATATATAAATACAAACATGTGTAATATGAATAATTAATTTCAATGAATACAAAAATTTATGTACTCGTTTTGTTTACCTGAGAAAGGGTGACTGCTTTTTCACGTAACAATAATTCCTGGACTAGAGGAAGTTTCTTGGTCAAGTGTAATTGTTGTAGTGCAACCAAAGCACACTGACACAATGAAACCTTTTCTTCACTTCTAACGTCACAAGTATCAACATTTAATCTACGAAACGATAAGAAAAAAAAAATGACTGTCAACAGTTGTTGTTGTTTTGGTTGTTGTTTAGCAACGAGTAAATATTTTTTTTTAAAAAACAAAAAAGAAAAGATAAAAAAGAGATTATAACCAACCCTTGCAAAAGATAAAGTCGATAACAGGCATCCTTATCCTCTCGACAAAGCATCACGTTACTCAGACCTTTCGAGGATTCTTCGATTCCACGTGCTTGAAGACTTTTCAAGGCGTTAACGAATTGAAGTAAAACGAACGAGGATTCTCTAATCGAACCTTCGTCCTGGGAATCCTTCGTGACTAAACCAAATGCTTGAACCGTACTCACTTGTAATCTTGGAAAAACCGAGATCGTTGCTGCAAACATACATATATATATATATATATTTCCAAGAAAATTTATTTATCAAAAATTACGTTAATACTGTTTTGCAATTAAAAATATATACATCAATTGTGCTCGCAAATGTTTATATTTTTTTATTAGGATTCCAAAAAAAAAAGATGAAATTATTATTTATCTTATTTTAAATAATATAACTCTATCTATTCTTTATAAATATAATATAAATATAAATATATATTAAATATTATAATATCATTTTTTCGACAGATATTTGAAATTTCGTAGGAAAAGTTATACAACGTGTTCTCATATTCATCCTTCTATCCAAATAAAAAAAAAAAAAAAGAAATCTAGAATAAATTACCTTCCATGTCTTTGCCAGTTGATAAACTGACTCTTTCGGATATTTCTTTGGGCACGGTCTCTATAAACTCGATTATTGGCGCCAAGTAGAATTCCTTTCTTGACACGTGCATCGCTTGATCGAACGCGATGCACAAGCTGACGTTTTGCTCGTTCCAACTAGCCGAGCAGAATATTCGCCTGCCAATGAAAACGGACGTGTTTGCGTCAATGGTGAAATCGCGTAGACGAGGATTGGAATTTTTCAAGGCACGAAGTGGACCAGGTGCTACTATTTGTGAGACTTGATTCACCTGTAACTTGATTTACATGATTACACGTTACACACATCGAACCAACAGAAATCGATTGAGAAGAAAAATAATCTGAATAAGAGAATAATATTAAAGGTAAATCTTATTAAATGAGAACTAATATACCTGTTCGACAAATTGTGCTAATGCTTCGTGATTGGCCACTACAACGGCACCATAATTATCTTCTAAACTACGATGAACTATGCTACGTCCTCTTCTTTGTCTCAATCGATTCAACCTAAGCTCGTCGTCTTTGATCTTCCAATCTTGATCTTCTTCTGCACCCTTAAAAAAAAATAATCATAATTCGTATTTTAGAAAAATAATCAATATAATTATCCATTTACATAGAATTTGTTCGTAATCTATTTTATTGTCATCTAATTTATTTTTAAGGTTTTTTTTTAATTTGAGTATCGAATTTTATTTCGTATTACAATATATTTTCCCTCTCTCTCTCTTGAAAAATAAAAAAGACTAACAAAAGTATATACCTCGTCACCAGTGTAGAAAGTGTATGAGGGTGCGTAAAGTTCGCTTTCAGTTTCGCTACCACAATAGGGTAATGAAGTTGACCTGAGGAATGGTTGATGATGATGATGATGGTGATGGTGATGGTGAAATTTGAATTCTACCCCTGGATCCATAACACTGCTGTCAGATTTCCTCTTGCAATTTGGATGATGGGATCCGTTTCCATGGCGTAGTTCAAGACTCGAGTCACATTCCGGTGAACTGGACAAACACTCGTAACCATGACTATCGTTCGAGGTCTGAAACGATTTATTTGTTTCAAAATAAAAACTTAATTAATTTAAAAAAAAAAAAAATACATCAAAATACAAATCTCAAATGAATACTTTTGATTACCGGTGAATCGGAAGTAAGCTGAGTTATGGTTGCGGTAGTCTCGTAATCGTTTAGGGTCAAATTTTGCGATGACGATGAAGAGGATGAAGAACCGTGCTTCTTAATCAAAGATGGTTGTGAGGATGTTGCTTGATCCCTCATACTGGCGGTTCTTTGAGGTTTCGAAGGTGCCAGGGCACTGCGTACCTCACCTGTAACATCCTCCGCTGCTGCAGGCACGTCCGCCATCGTCAAGCGCCATGGGTTAGTACCACAAGACACAAGGCATTGTCACAAAACAGGCTAGCTACTACAAGTAACTAGCGTATTAGACGCATAACGCTTGATTCATACATTCTCAACGCTAATCTATGTATTTCTCGTATATGTATATATATATATATATATATATATATATATGTATGATGATGTTACATACTCTAATACGCGTAATTAGAACGTAACTCTATTTGGTTCATCAGCAAAAACTACAATGACAAGGCACATGGACAAATTACATGAAAAATTATTACTTTTAACATGATACACAAAAACTTCTTATTTATTTCCAAATTTTCTCATTTTTTTATTAATTATTAATTTATTAATTTATTATTGTTTTGGTCACACGTGAGTGCACGTTCAACGTTAAGTTGAACATCGTTTAATTAAAGGTAAAAAAAAAAAAAAATGAAAAATTTGTGAATAATCGAAGATTGCAACGAAGGACAATAATTTACAATAAATATAATATTAACGCAGTAATAATTGTGTGTTATATTAAAAGTTAACTAAATCAAAATCAATCTTTACGCTATTTCAAGATTATATTTTTATTTTTTTTATTTTGTCGGAAATAAAACGATAGACGCAAGTACCGCTTTTGAATCATTTAATTTAAAAGTTTCGGGTGATATTGATTATTATTATTATTATTATTATTATTATTATTATTATTAGGCAAGCATTCCAGTTTACCTAAATAACATAATTCTAGAGTGAACACAATGCTTAATGTATTTTTTTGTTTTTTTATTTTTTATTTTTAATCAATGCATGCGGCGTTAATAATTGCACCCAGCGGTCAAGTTAGAAAAAGAGCTCTGGCGTAACACAAAACGCTGTTGTTAAAAAGAAAAGAAAAAAGGGAAATGGCGAGTAAACCGATGAGGAGATGATTTTGTTGCACATTTTCATTCTGTTTTATTTTTCTTTTTCATTTTTTTGTATTATATTATTTTAAACATTATTATTATTAATATTATTATTATTATTATTATTATTATTATTATTATTATTATTATTATTATCTTGCAAGCTTTAATAAGCACTCATACAACGATACTCCAGTCATCTGTACATCAAAAATTAAACCAAAAAAAAAATAAATGTATGTAATTGTTCATCCAAAAAAAAAGAAGAAAAAAAAAATAGGAAAAAAAAAGAAAAGAAAATTATTTCGTACGACGAACTCTCGCAGATGATACAAAAAGATAATTTAATTTTTTATTATTGTTATTATTATAATTTTTTTCGTTTCTTTCTATTCCCATAGAAAATAAAGAATCTTCCTCATCTTTTGGCTTAGCAGCCAAAAACTACGATCCTAGATAATCGATACCAAAAACTTGGCTCCATTTTCATTGGCGTTCGGTCGTCACGCATTGCGCACCGAGCTTTTCTCTCTCTTTCTCTCTCTCTCTCTCTCTCTCTCTCTCTCTCTCTCATTCTCACCCGTTGTGTGTATGGTGTGTTCGCACTCGTAGAAATAAAATTCAAAATGTCGCGTCAAAATCAAATTCATAAGAAAAAAAAAAAATGGCACGTGCAGAATAATAATGCAAAAGATAATAATCAATAAAATCAAATTTAAATGTTTATAATATTTACAATAAATGAATAAAAATAGGAAGGTAAGAGAAAAAAGGTGAAAACACGGTTCGTCTCGTTTGAATTTGAATCAAGGAAAAACAAGGCTCTCTGATGTCTGTGTGTGTGTTTTTTTTTTTCAATTTTTTTTTTTTCAGGCAAATATTTATTTAAATTTTAAGAAAAAGATAAAACATTAATCAATCAATATTACAGGCTTTTTTTCTATTTTGTTTTGTTGTTTTTTTTTTTTTTTTTTTTATTAATTTTATTTGTAATTTTTTAATTCTTTTTATTGTCTATCATTTTCTCGTCCTTTATTTTTTTTTTCTCAAATTTTTTTCTATATATCTATACAAAAATTGTTCATGTAAATTACAATAACACAATTATAAGAATATAATTGAATAAAAAAATTTGGATATACGCTTATCTTCTTTCTCTCTCATTCTCTTTTTATTCTCAAACTCTTCTTCGTCATTCGTTTTAAACGCGAATAGAAAGAGTGAGAGAGAGAGAGAAAAAAAAAGGAAAACAAAAAAAAAGGAAAAGAATTGCGTATGCATGCTTTTTGATCGTGCTAATTAATCGGCCTAATTGATTGGCCTATACGACTTTTACTTTCATAAAAGTACAACCAACATACGACGCCTATTACAAGTATATATATGCACGTGTATAAATGTAAATAGATAGAAATATAGAATTGATTGCATATACGTTTTATATATATATATATTTATATGTATGTGTTATAAATGAATGTACGTATGTATCACAGAATATAATGAACTATTATTTTATGCACGAATTAATCCTCTTACTAAACATATAATAATAATAATAGTATAACTTTAACAATTAACTAAATAATGGCTTTTGTTTATTTTTTTTTTTTTTTTTTTTTTTTTTTTAAAAAGAATAATACAAGCTAACGATGTACGGCAAATTAAACTTCGTCTCTTCTTTCGTCTCATTATAAAACAACACGGTCTCGAGTAGGTAGGAAGAAAAAAATAAAAAAAATAGGAGCACGAACGAGCCCACATATTCGATGTGATTCGATAAGAGAAATAAATCACAAAAAGAAAATTTATATTTTACTATATTATAGTCGTCAATCTTTTGTCATATATTTGTTGTAACGACCAAATAATTTATTGATCAATAATAATAAAAAAAAATAACGTGTTCTATTCGCGTCACTCATTCGTACGTTTATTTATTTTGTTTTTTTATTGTTTTATAAAGCAAATGGCGCATGAGGGGTTTTGTGAGTATGGCTGTTAACATTCACAGGGGGTGGATGGTTGGTATAAGTGTACGCGTGAAGTGGAAAAAAAAAAAAAGAAGAAATCACCACGACGATTCACATTAGTTACATTGTATGGGCCTGAACTTACCCAGATTCGCGTAAATCAAGTCTGAACTGGTAGCGGTTGTTGATGCGGCGTTCGTTGGTTGCCAAGAAGAAGTCGGTGCAGTAGTCGTCATCTTGCCTAGCGATTTTTCACTTCTATTAGAATGCAATTGTTGCTTGTTAGTAGTTTCAACACGCGGCGGTGGTGGTCTGACAGGTTTGTTAGACTGATCAGTTCTAGACCATTCCTCCAATGATTGATTTCTTGGCGGAGGTGGTGGTTTTCCTGGTCTAACTGTTAACAAACATAGATCTTTGATAACACAAACACATAAATAACAATCTAACAGGTACAGGTAACCTTTCCTATAACACGTAATTTTCTATTCTAAAATCTTGGTACAGCATTGGATAATGCAATGGTTGCGTAACAATATCTAAAAACTAAATTACCTTAAAATAATGAACTTTGAGGGTTTTCATATATAACACGTCATTTTGTAGGAACCTATTTAACGTGTTTATAGAAGGATTTTACCTGTATAAAAGGGTATTTTGATTGAGAAAAGCTTACCAGCTGAAGTAAGAGCATGCTGTTGATGTTGAGAAGCATTGATAGAACGCGTCGTCTTTGTGGGTTCGTTCTTAAAACCACAGGAATCCGTCTGATCCTCATTGATCCTACTACTACTACCGACGACTCTACTACTATCGTTTCCCACGACTTCAACTGCAGCACCATCGAGCTCAAGTGGATGAATGATTTCCAATCGGAGTTTAGGTTGCGGAGTAGACGGTATTTCATCGAGACGTGAATTCGAAGCATGCCCGTTACTGTTATTGTTGTTGCTGCTGTTGCTGTTAGTGGAGGTAGTGGTGGTGGTCATGTCAACGTCCTTTCTCGAACCCATTCGTAGAAATCTCTTTAATGAAAATCTTGATCTACCACGTTTCTTGCCTTCACGTGTTGTTTCTGTACCATTTGTCAAACTATCCTGCGACAAAGATATTGTCCTTCTTGGTGACGACGTAGTATCGTTCGAATGAGACGATGAAGATGTGGTGGTAATGGTGGAGGATGTGGTGGGTGATGTACCATTGGTTGGGTCAGGTACATCGCAAACAGCTTTCCTAAACTTTGGACTACAAGACGATGCTCTTTCTCTCTTCTCTTTTTCCCTTACTACTGGTGAATCCGATTTCAAATTAGCACCGGGATTTCTAGCATACAAATTAGAACCCACGGGTAAAAGATCTTCCGTTAACTCTGGCGGTCTTGGTGCCATTCTTCTTTTATTGTTAACAGATCTAACGGGTTCCATACTATTATCTTCATCAGCTTCCGTACCTTCACCGATATCACGTGAACTAGTAGTTGATATTAATTTATCTTCTTTAAAAGATTCGTATGTGATAGATGATGAATTAATTCTTTGATTAATTTGATCGTTTTCTTCGTGTTTATCTTTAATTATTTTCTTAGTTGTTAAAGATTTATTATCTAATTCTTCTTTGACAATTGGTCTCGTTGTTGAATTAGAAATTGGTGAAATAACCGTACCTATAATTGTAACAAACCAATCTCAAGTTAATAATTCTTTTTAAATCTATAGGAATATTTAAACAAATATAATATAATAAATTAATTAACCTTTACAAACCTGTACTAGGAAGATGATGTGTCCTGTTGTTAACATTCTGTACCGATGGTGGTGGTAAAACGTAATTAGGATTATTCCTTTTCACATTGGTACTACCAATATTGCACGTGGGCTCACTCTTCGATAAAACAGTCGGCTTCGTCCCAACGAAGTTAGACGGTTTCTGGGGTACCATGGGTTTCGATTTTGCGTCCATACTGACAGAACCGTGAAGAAAAGACGGCCTTGGTTCGGTTGCTATTACTTTATCCATTTCCATAGATGGTGGTGGACTACGTGGCAATGCAGGTGGTTCAACGATTTCTTCTTCGTCTGCTTTGCCATCTGGTTCACCAGCTAACTCACGACTCTCCTCGAAATTAAATTTTTTTACGCTAACTTCAGGCGAATCTGTTGATAATTTTTTCATTTTTTTCTCATCCACACCGACAACCGTGATTTTGTTAATTTCTTTACCACGTAGGATCAACGGCCTGTCAACGTTCTCAACAATTTCATCTTTTTTCAACAACGTTAAATTCAATTCAACTCCGTTATCTTTTACCGGAGATTCTTTTTCATTGGTTTTTGACAACTCGTAATTCGTACTATTATTATTATTATTATTGTTATTATTATTGTTACTAATATTATTGTTAATGTTACTTTGCATCGATTGAATCGCAATCTTTGGCTTTTCGTTGTCAATTTTTTTCATTGCCGGACTACGCGAAATGTTAGCCAATTTTTTCTCCGATTTTCCAGTTAACAATTCTGTTCTGTTAGTAACATTTTCGAGATTCTTATCAGCAACGTTAACCGTGCTGGTATCCTCAATTTCCGTCCTTTGTATCACTGATATCAAGTTTGTCGAAGTAATCAATGGCATATCAACTATTTTCTCCAATTTTGGAGATCCACTGTTCTGCTGTTGTTGCTGCTGCTGTTGTTGCTGTTGTTGTTGCTCGCGTTTATCATCTTTACGCTCCGTTGTAATCTTTTTTGATGTTTTCAACATATTCTATGAAAGATATTATATCAATGTTTGATTCTCATTAATAAAAAAAAAAAAATTTACAATTCAAACTTACCTCATTTTTGTTATCCATCGAATTAGTGACAGAAGAAGTTGAAGAAGAAGACTTAGCAATGTTATTGGAGAAACCATTGACAGTGATTTTCCTATCGATTGGCCTTTTAGCTGTTGGCAATGATTCGTCACCACCAAATGGTGTAACTGATACCAAAAGTGTAGTTTTACGACCATCTGCGTCCTTTTGAATTCTACCAAGCATCAACGAAGCAAAAGTTCTCGTTGACGATGATGACGTTGATGTTGATGTTGACGTTGACGTTGACGTTGATGTACTCGTTGAAGATTTGTTTATATCATTGTTAGAAATAATTTCACTTAAATTCGCAGTAACGGTATTGAAATTAGTATTTGCACGTGTCAAGTTGCTCAAAGCACGTTCTTCCTCGCTGTCCGGTACCACATCTTCTTCCGTGTTCAAAGAATCAACCAACACCTGTTCTACGTCGTCATCTTCTTCATCCTCTGATAGAAAGTCGTCACCACCGTAACCGATAACTTCGGTCAAGGATTCCGGAAAAGCAACGTTCTTTTTTCTTTGATCCTTTGGAACTGTTGTTGTTGATTCTTTTACTCGTAGAATACTCTGAGAGAATTATATTCGATATATATATATTTAAATTTAATTAATATTATAATAAGATAAAAATATAAAATATATATTAATAGATAACACAAATTTTAATTATTATTTAAACAATTTACTACTATTACTATTATATGTCAAACCTAAATTATATATTAATTAAATAGTAATTATAATTATATTAAAATTAATAATATTAAAAAAAAAATAATTTAATAATATTATATAATAAAAAATATATTAATATAATATGTAAAATAATTTAATAATTAAAATTTGTCACAATTGGCACATAAAGTAATTTTATTGACTTGCAACTAAAAATTGCATTAACCTAAAAAGTAAAAAATGCAACAACGAAAGATAAATTTTTAATACAATCCAATGCATTTTACTTAGATAATATCCCAATCCCATATTCCAAGGATAATTCGAATCGGATCTAATAAATTTCCCTCGTTTCGATTTCGTAACAACGGATTTTCATGTGTTACGGAAAATGGATAATAATTTGAAGATACCATTAGAGAGAGAGAGCGAGAGAGAGATCGCGAATCGTTGAAGTTTTACGATGTACGGGCAAAATGCCCGTACTGTTCACCCCTACCATCACTACCACCATCCCCAAACCATCCCTTTCGTTTTACCACAGTATGCGATTCACTTTAATAACTTATCTCGACGTACTTATGATACTTCATCAAAATTTAACAATAACGTTCAAAAAAAAGTAAACTTTACAAAAAAGTAAACTTTATTCACGATTCAATGCATGACATTTTTTCTTCTTTTTTTTTTTTTTGTCTTTTCTTGCAATTCGTTCTTCTCGTTTAAGGAACATAAGAACTTTTATTAAAATTATAATATATATTTGATTAAAAAAAAAAAAAAAACAAAATACAACAAAGTGGAATTGAACTTTTGAACGATTTATGATTTAATATACGTAAAAAACTTAATTCATTCGGCTAATAGGCATCAAATGAGAAGTTTAACTTTCAACTTAAAATCCTTCGCATAACTGTCCAAGAGAATAACTTTTCGTTAAAGTTTTATCCCCACCTATACACATTTATACACACATATATACACACGTGCCAAAAACAAAACAAAAAATCAGATTGTGATCAACCAACGCACAAGCCATTTGCCTCCTATCCAGTTTTTTTTCTTTTTTTTTACGTTCATTCTCTACCAGGGTCGATTTAAAAAAAAAAAAAAGAAAACAACAGTCAGAAGAAAGAAAGGAAAAGAAAATAAGGAAGAAAGGAAGGATTTAAAAAAAAAAAAAAAGAAATAAAAATAAAAACAAAAAAATAAAACCCTTTCTATACCCTTCCTCCACTCTCCACCCAACAACCCACCCTTGACGAAAAGTGTATAGATTCGATCTAACTTCATTTGCAATTCCATTTAGAAATCAACCCCGTGTGAGGTTGGTATATTTTACCCGCGAAATATCTGCTAAAATCTCGTAATATCATTTTATAATGATATGAAAGAGTGAGAGAGAGAGAGAGAGGGGGGAGAGAGAGGAGAGAGAGAGTGAGGTAAATTCTAGGATAAATCTCTTCGCATTAAAGTCAATTTTAATTTCACATAGTTAGGGGGGGTGGGATGGAAGAGAGAAGGTGAAGGAGAAAGGGAAGGGGGTGTGAGGGTGGGGGAGGGGGAATTTAAAGTTCACGATGAATGCTTTCACGATGGCCCGTATAATACTCGTGCAACGATGTAACTATTATATATGGATACACAGAACCGCGAGTTGGTATATATGAAAAAAGATGGGAACTCGTTCGGCCTGTTGCTCTTTTAAAGTTTTCTAACACAGATATATATATATTTATATAGATATACAGAAATGCACACACATATATAGACACGAGTGTGTAGAGACTACGGTAACAGTAGCAGCAGCAAAAGCCCCGATGTATATGTATGAGATGCTGATTTTAAACGAGACTCTTCACTTGGACGACCCACTTCCATTGAGTTCACGCTCACAACAACATACAGCCCTTATTGCTAGCAGCAACGTCAGTTAGCGAATGTATAGGGTTGAGTTGGGTAAGGGGGGATGCTAAAAGGTACGTTTTCAGACAAGATTTTGCTTTAGAATTTTTTTATATTTATATATGTATATAAGTTTAATCGATTATGATGTAATTTAACCCTTAGAGTGCTATAGACGCATATATGCGTTTGATAAAAATTATCAGAGTGATCTATCGACACATATGTGTCGGATAGCATTACCATACCTTACACCTTACGTGTTTGTTAATATTAGTTACAGGGGTCGGTAACGTGCGGCTCGCGGCACCGATGAATAAATAGATTAGTTTTTTTTTTTTTTTTCAAAAAGCTTTATTTATTAGTACTGTTTATTGCTGGCTAGAAAAAATTTTGTGGCTGTTTAAAAACTTTGAAATAATGTAAATTGTAATTTTTGGCTCTTCCGACTTAAAAGCTTGTCGACCCCTGTATTAGTATAATAACAATTTTATTAATATTACTATTATTATTATTATATTAATTAATTAAATTATATTAAGAAAGAAAAATTTTAATTATTAAATATAATTTATTAATAATAAATTATTCCCCGTTCTTACAAAATATTTTAGTTAAAAGTATTCAACACTCAAAGGGTTAATTATCTAGATTTTGTTGATTGATTCATTGTAAACTGTTGTTTTAATAATAAATATTGTATTTAATATTAAGTTCTTTAATTTAGATCAATTATTTTTGCTGTTATAATTGTTATTATAGTTGGGATAACGAACATATATTTTATTATCGAGTTATGCCGTTAATTCCGTTATTAGCAAAGTACTACTCTGGATGTCTCTCATACGAACGATTCATTATTAGCAATCCCGTTTATACTCGAGTGCATATTCGAACGATGGCACGGACGCGACAGGTGCCAGGGGGATACGCCAAGTTTTTCCGGTTTATTCGTCGAAGCATTTATGAATTGCGGAACACAACCCAGTTTTCCATTCGTTACGATCGTTATAATCCTCTCGATCGTCGACCTTGTATTGCTCGATCGAACGGTATAATAAACGAAAGAGGAGTAACAGGAGCAGAAGCAAAAGAAGGAGAAGGAGGAGTAAGAGGAGGAGGAGGAGGAGGAGGAGGTTGGCATATCGAGCCTGTCGAATTAATACGACCACTTATCTCGTTCAAAAAAAAGGAAAAAAAAATGTTAAGAATCGAGACCTAGAAAATAATTCGATAATATTTATTGTACTTACCTGAACTTTCAAATTATCCGATTTTAAATTGAACGATGCCTTTTCTATGTTGAACAATCTTAATGCATCCTCGTTCGATGAATGTTCCTCTCTTAATTTGAAACAATTCGAACATAACTCCTTCTTCCATGCGTTTTGAACGAAACGATTGCATTGTGCGGACATCATTGCTTAAGTGCAGCGCGACAGCGAAAGTCCCGTTACATCATCGTCCCTGAAAGGAAAAGAAACGAATTAGCAATCGTTCAACAACTACAACTACACTCTCGATAGTATACATTACGTTCTATCAAAAATCATTTTGTTTAATGCATCACTTATAGTAATAATAATAATAATAATAGAATTCATTTGTACAAATTTCATTGGAAATGTAATATCTTTCAAACTGTGTTTATACAAAATAATTTGTGCCAATTTAAATTTGCAAAGAGGATAAATTCTCACGAAGTGAATTTTGTTTAAATTATTATTTATTCTTTATAATAATTATTTAAAAAATAACACAATAATATAATATATATTTATATATGTATACTAGGAATAATAATAATAAATATATTTCATATATAATATTAATAATTATTTTAAAGTAATAATTATGTTGCTTAAATGATTATATAATTTTAATTTCAATTTCAATTTATTATTTAATTATTTATAAACCCTTAGAGAAAATAATTGTGCTTGAATTAATATTTATTCTTTGTATAATAAAAATAATTATTAAAAAAATAACAACATAAAGATATATATTATTATTAATAATAATAATAATAATAATAATAATAATAATAAATATATGTCATTGGTAAAATAAAACCGACAAAATGTCCGTACGTGAAAAAAAAAAAGGTAAAATAAAGAAGAATCCTTCTTGGCAATAAAAATAAAATGGATATCGGATTCTCTTTAGAGATTCATGCGATCTGTAAGGATAGTTTTAACTTGAAAGAATAACGTTATATATATATATATATACATATATACGTGGAAGGGCCAATCCGTGAAAACATATTTATCGAAAAGGTAAAAAAAGAAAAAGAAATGGGATAGAAGAAGAAGTAGAAGATGCGATGTTACTGCAGCTACTGTTTCAACGGCACGCGAATGCGGATTTTCAATTTATCGGCACTCCTATTTCGACATACTATCTCTCACATGGTTACATTGAATACGATGCTTTTAACTCTAACTCTCTTTCTCTTTCACAACATTTTAACATTTCTCTTTCTCTCTCTCTCTCTATCTCTTTCTCTCTCTCTCTCATTCTTTATGTATGTTATGTGTCTATAAGCAACGATCAATGTTTCGCAATGTAGCTTAAAAACATGTCCCTCCCCCTTCCTCCCCCACCTTTCATCTTGTTGTAACTCACAGTTTTTCAATGCAAATAAACAAAATTTCCCCCCCCCCCACCCCTTCTCGTCGGTTTTAAGATTTAACCTGTTTTTTATTTTTTCAATTAATGTACTTTGAACGATACATTTGTTGTTGTTGTTGTTGTTTTGACGTAAATCGGTATTAAATAAAAAATGAAATACACACACACACACACACACACACACACGTACACACAATTTGAAACAAATTTTATAAGGAAAAGTAATATTTGTATTTTTCGATAGAAAAACATGATACGAATAATAATAATAATAATATAAGAAAGTATCGCGCGTGTAAAATAAAGTGAATCGTTTAGAAATGGAAACATTGTCATACGTTTAGAATCGATCTTTGCGGTTCTCAGTTACGTGCCTGCTGCTGTTGCTGTTACTGCTGGTGTAAGAACGCTGACCTCGGCAAATATTTCCTTTCCTTTCGCCAGAAAAGAGTGTGATGTTATTTTATAGAGCTTCCTTTCGTCTTAACGCAATACTCAAAGTGAATAATAGATTTTTTTTTTTTTTTCTTTATAACTTTACTAAAATTCTCTTCTATCTTACATCCAACCCCACCCCCCTTTTGGTATTGTTTTTATTTTATTTTAATTCGTACGAAATAATTTTTTTTGTTCAAAACTTTCTAATATGATAAATATATTATCAAATAAATGACAAAATTATTTTTATCGTTAGATTAATTAATATTTATTATAATAAATATTAATTATAATAATATATTATTAATATATTTATTTATATATTTATATATTTATTTATATGTTTATTATATATTTATTATATTATATATATA